CTTGGCTTTTTCACCGTGGGATCAGGCTTATTAGTTTGGCGACCTCTAGTATACATGAACTAGTATGTATGTCGTTCATTTGGTTGCCACAACAAGATGGATAGCCAAATAGCTTAATGATACCAAGTAGATATGGACAAAAATATAGCACATGTGTTGTCATTTCATCTTTTCATAACAAAGCTACCAACCTTGTCTGGATGATTGGCTCAAGGTAAGGTCATCTTACCATAAGTCATGTAAGGGCATCTCCAGAGAATGCTAAGCATAATGACACTCGTACTAGAAAGAATATATATATGCATCAACTATGGTTACATCAATTTGATGCTCGTTAATTAGTGGTAGTGCCTTTTTGTCCACAGAAAGTGGAGAACATATTGATTTATTGACTTACGAAATACAAACGAAAAGTACATATATTGCATGACAACTAATAGTAGGCTGTTGATTAAGTTAATCTCAACCTACGTCTACAACTTATTTGCATTCAGGACAACCAACAATATATCTTGTTTTATTCACCCATAAATAGCTAGCTAGCATGCATGTATGTATATATAGAGGTACGCGCAAGCAAAACAAGAGCTTTAGGGGTGGATTCTCAGGGCCTCTTGTGTTCACGAGAAATAGAAATATTTGGTAGGATTCACTCTTTGTATAATTTTATACACATCTGTTATTTGTTCCGCATGTTAATTAGAACCTAAAGATGTTTTTGTGTATGGGAACCTTGCACTAAAGTTTAAAGGAATATCCTTTTATCGATGTTCAGTGGCTCATGTGTTTTTATGTTTTTTCAGTTATGTAACTAAAGACATTTTATTGGAATTGCTATTTCCTTTGGTATTATAGTCTTCAGAAAAGCATGCCATTGCAATCTCTGATACAATTTTTTATCTTTTGGAATCATGTCAATCATATAAAACTAGGATTCTATAATATTTTTCCTGTACCTAGTCAAGCATACCGGATCAGCCTTTTCAGTTTCATGTTTGGTGTAGGATCAGTCTCAGTCCATGGGGATGCTCTCCTATCACTAAAAAAAGGCACTTTCCCTGAATGTCAGCTAACCTAGCCGTACCTTAGGAGACAGTCATGAGTAGAGAAGCAACTACTCCAGCACACACACAACATATATATGTTTAAAATTGATGGTACGGTTGTGCTGCATGGACTAAGCATGGAAGAGAGATCGAACTAAAAATAAAACAAAGAGAACTAAGAAGCTGCAGAAACTTACATGTAGGAGATACTGTACTGCTTATCCATTCTTTTCGTGGTGGTGCTAGCTAGTGGTGTGTTTCAAGCCAAGCCTCAGTCAAGCTCACAAGCATACCCTCTTTCCCTTTTCACCTTCACGCCTTACAATGAACCAAAGGTACGTACTTTAACTCTCGAGAGGTTGAGCAGAGCACCGATCCATCTATTCTGAGTTCCCCAACCCTCCCTGTGCAAAAGAGCTGCGTCCCCTCCTACACCTTGCTAGTTATGGCAGCAGGCCGGCCGGCCTAGTCGCCTTTGCTCCCATCACGCCCTGCGCACATCCGCACACCATGCATGCAGTCCTAGCTACCCGCCGGCCGCCGCAGTGAAAAAGAAAAGGCGCTCCGTGCTGCGATCGATGGAAGCAAAACAGCAGAAGCCCGCCACAGGAAGAAGAGGTTCGAAGATGAAGAGAGGGAGCTGCATGCCGCTGCTGCCACTGCCAAGTGCCAACAATCGCACAGCTCCCCACTGTTGCTACTCCAACTGCAACAGTGAGGAGGGGTTCGTACTACGTACCGAGGTCCCCCATAAATTCCAAGCGATCGTACAAAGAAGTTATGGCCAGTGCCCCCTCTTTACAGACTGCCACGACCATAAAGATCTCTTGGACTGTGTGCATGCATGCACTCCTCAAGGCCCAGACAATCCAAACTATACAAGATTTGGCCCACTCCATGGGTTTAATTCCGTGTTCCCTCCGGCTCTCACAAGGGGGCAAAAGAAAAAAAAATGGTGGTACGACGACTACGTACGCGCGCTGTCTACTCTCTACAATGGCGATACAGGACTACTGTGTACGAACGAGTATGATACATGCAGCTACAGATGTGGTGCGCAGGAGAAACACAGTGCGGTACAGTGGGGGTAGAAAAAGGTGGCGGCAAAAAGGCGAAATAAAAGGAATGTGCAGACCTTCCTCCGGCCGTAAATATGAGATCGATGATGAGCAGTAAAGAACGGAATGTGTTTTTAAGATCTCACCTGCGAAAATATAATGTCGATCGCTGTTCGGACTTGTCTCTTGCTGCTGCATGCGTGAGGGCTTAACGCGCCATCCATGTACGGCCGAGTTGTGCGGATATTTGATCTACCAGAATATCAGTTCACAAGTAATAGCATGTTACGGAAAAGTATTAGGACCTTCTTATCTGGCGACCGTTCGCTGGAGGGGTTGGCATTTGCAAACGTTTTGATCACAGTTTTACTTGTCAAGGGGTGACAGTTTCTTCGGAACAACCTGGCATTTTCTGGAATGAAGGCTCAAAACTGCCATCCTCCCCAAAAACACCCCCTGATACAACTAAAATTGTCAAGAAAAAAAGAGAATGGTCGCCAGTTAGCTTTTTTGAATTATTAATGTGTAGTGCTGGTTTTGTCCGAATGCATTTTGATGGATTTAACTCATATCTCTCGTACTCCTCCAGTTTCTTTTTATTACGTATACAAGATATGTTTAAAGTTAAATTACATAAAGTTTGACCAAAGATCATATTTAAAATGTCAACACTTACAATACTTTACTTATATAGTATGAAAATTAATTTCATGATGAATTTAATGATTTTGGTTTTGTATCATGAATGTTGATATCTTTCCATATAAAATTGGTCAAACTTAACCAAGTTTGACTTCAGACAAATTGTATATGCAGACTAAAAATAAACTAAGGAAGTACTATGAGACCATGAACAAAAATTTGCACACGGACAAATGTTATCATATGTATGAAATGGGCATGCGATTTTGCTAAACATGGGCAAGTATTGAAGCACAAGCACATGGAGAGGGAAAATAATTAATGGTGGACAAGAGATGACACTGATTTGGGAGAAAAACATTAATCTTCCTAAGCTTAATTTCTTTATGACTTCTCAAACCAACACAAAAATTTCAAGTGCCGAAAAGGGGGCAAATGTTAAATCCCTAGCTGCCGCTATCATCAAAAGCTTATAACTGAATCACATGAGAAGTGAGATGACGAGAAGAACCGAAAATCAAATGGTAGAAGAAAGAAAGAATCGCAGAACTTTCCTTTAGGTCACAGATCGAGATCCAAGCCTGAATGCGCCTCCCTTTTGGAAGACGACGACGACGACGGAGACGATGCCTCGGCACCGGCACCATGCGAGGGGAACTCTAGCAGCCTCAGCGTATGGTCCCTTGGCCGCCATGCTGATGCGGGCATCTGCAATGGCAGTGCACTGCCATAATTGCTCGACTCGTCCCCGCCATCGCCGGGATGCTGCGGGTTGTCAAGGTTCACGCCGAACAAGCGCACGCGCTTCTTGGTTGCCGTCGTCGGGCTTTCGATTACCGGCACCGAATCGAGCACCACTGGGGACCCTGCGGTTACACTTACGCCGGCGCCGCTGCCTTGCTGTTGCACTGTGAAGTGCAGCGGCGGCGGCGGGCGCGGCACGAGGAGTGGTGCTGGTGTGTGCGGAGGCATCCTGGCGGCCGAGCCGAAGAGGATGACCTGCCTCCCCATTGTGGGGTAACTGGGGTTCATGCCGCGGAAGTCGAAGCCCTGACGGAGACGGTGCTCGTAGAGCGTGGCTGGCGGCGAGGGCGGCATGAAGAACCCTCTGCCGCCGGCGCCGAGGCCCCACGGGCTGTAGTGCGACGTTAGCGGCATCGGAAGCGGGAGGCGGGGCAAGCGGAGCGGGTCTCTGGTGTCGGCCCGGCGCTTCCAGTCGATGAAGAGGCGGTGTCGCGCGGCCTCGCCGGCGCCGCGCGAGAAGGAGACGGTGTCCCCAGCGTCGAGGCGCTTCTCCTTGACGAAGCGGCTCCACCCTTTGGTCATGACGTAGCTCTGGCTGCTGTTCCAGTAGGAATAGCGGAAGCGCCATGGCTTCCCGGCGCTGTCCTCGAAGTTGAGCAGGAGGCCCTTCTCGTTGGCCGCCGAGTCCAGCGGGAAGTACTTCTCGGCGTACTGCTTGGGGATGACCAGCCGGTTCAGCTTCCCCACGTCGCTCGGCGTCACCACCTTGTCGAACATGTGCTCCTTCTCCACCGCCTCCGCCACGCCGCCGCCGCCGCCCCCGCTCCCCGACGCTCCGGCGTCATCCCCAGACCGAAAGGGAGGGCTACTTCCAGCCGGCGACGCAGACACGGCCGCTGACGCGGGTGTCGAGGCCGACGCAGAAGCAGAAGGCGCGGCGGCGCTGGTGGCGACCGCGGCTGTCATGAAAGGGATCTCGCGCGGCATCGACGCCTCTTCCTGCTCCTCCTCCACCTCCTCCTCTCCTTTAGAAAACCTACTGCTTGTCGCAGTAAACTCCATGTATGTATGCTTGGATACTTCTTCCCGTGGATTACTGCGGCATCCCGATTCGCCAACAGGTAGAGGATAGGAGGAAGACCAGATCTTGAGAAGAAGCAAGCAACTACAAAAGAGCTTCCTGCGCTGCCGTGCCGCCCAGTGGTTGTTCGGATCGGAGCGAGAAAGCAGCAATCCTGGATCCTTCTTCTTGTTGCCCCTTGCTGGCTTCTGCCGAGACCAGCAGCTTGGCCTGGTGCTCGAGAATAGACACTGCGGCTGCAGCAGAGCTATAGCATGTAGGTTGGGCACTACTAGAGAGGGGATCCACCTATGTATGCGTGTATGTGTTGTTTTTTCTCCTAAGAAATTCTATATCGATCTTGAGCTGCGTTCGCACCGAGGGAGGGAGGCGAGCAGAGGGGAATTGGCTGGGCCGGCATGCATTGACGCGCGCGCACTGCACGCCTAGCCGCTGCTAGTTAGCTCTGGGATGTGGCAGGGATGGATGGAGTGGAGACGGGGATGGCCGGCAATATGGATCGATGGAGATGGCCAGCCGGGGAGGTTGGTGGGTGCTGGGTGGGCGCGCGCCCGCGTGGCCAATATTTGTGGCTGGCGCTGCTGCAGTTCGATCCTCCCGCAAGGGGGAGAGGAGACTGAGCTGCCCTAGCTACAAGATTCCTCTTCCTTGAACTCACTAGCTAGTGGAAGTGGCAGCTGCTTAGTGAAGTGAAGTGAGTCATCTCGCTGTGTTTTTCCCCCTCTCGCCCCCCTTTCCCCTCGTCCGTACTATAGCTTCTTTCCAGGAGCTTCATCAACCTTGGTTTTTTCTCAAGCACTTTATTTTGTTTCTCTTTGTGAAAGAAGGTGTGCGGTTTTTTGCAGCGTTGCGAGCATAGAGATCGAGCTAGAGAAAGAGCTGGGAAAAGTGGGGTGTACTGTGCAACGTAGTGTGTAGTAGCTTTATAAAGGGCAGAGGGCGGTGGGGGCCCATGGATCGCGCTGGGTTGGGCTCATGTGAGCGCTCGTCCTCGTCACCATACGGGTATACGTATACATCAAATATCACTCACACGCCTGCCTACGGGCGTAGCTGCAGCTACTGTGCCTAGCTCTCGTGTAGGCAAGTTCCTAGGCTGGTCCTCCCGGTGCGTACCCGTCGATCCATCAAGGGGGGTTTTCTCATAATAATTGCATGATGTGGAAGGAGAAGATCTCGTCTGCCTCGACGGTGTTTGAACACCATAATTTTTGTGTGGCTTGTCATGGGCCAACGGGCGAGGAATTTCGATCGGTAGGAATGCGGTCGCATTGGATGTTTCTATTCTGGCAATCGGGCATTCGGAGTTAAGCTGGCGTAAGGACACTCCAAGGTCAATGTATGTTTTGGATTCTCCTGATTTGGATGAGGAGGACGCCGGTGTTACCCATGAGTCCATGGCGGTCATCTTCTCTCCCATCTAACCAACGAGAGTCCCCTTCTCACGATATGTTGATGACACTGATATTTTTGTGAAAAACATGGTATGGCCAAATTGCCACCAACATGAAGTTCATCATTTGTTTGTTCAAACAACTATCTATACTTAAGATAAGTTTTCACAAAAGCAATTAGTTAGGTTTTGGAAACACCAATAAGATTCGCATCCACTTCGAAAAACAACAAAATAAAGAGTGGAAGATCATTGATGACCATTTTGAGAAAATACTTAGTAATTCAGAGGACAAGCCTTCGACCTATGGGGCCCTTCTTGTCCTAATCAACGCCACCCTGATTAGCTTGTCAGTGTTTATGCTATAGTTTTTTTAGGAATTCATGCTATCCTTCTTTGAAATACCGAGGGAGGTGAGGAGAAGATTATATGTTCTTTAGATAGTGATCTTCTAGATGGTCTTGGGATATAAGACCTGAAAGACAAGAACAAGTGCATGCTCAACAAATGATAGTTCAAGTCACTTTAGAGGAAAGTGTTTGGCAGGATTTGCTGACTAAGAAATATCTACACTCAAAGATCACTTTAGGTACATGTAAGTTGCCTGACTTTATATTTGTTAAGTCGATTTTGTAGCCATTGAATGCTTCCTTGAGATTCGTGCTTTTTTTTTGGTTTGTTGTTTGCTTTGTTGGGCTCACCAGAATCGACTCACCCCAATTTTTGGTCAATCGAGTTGGCTGTCGGGCTCGCTTTGTGCGCCAGTTATGCTCCCGCCACCAGTTAGTAGCTTAGCCCATCCCGCTTGTGGAGATGACAAAGTTGTTGGAGTAGATTGCCGTCACATGATGATTGCCCCGGCGGCGTTCGGGCGCCACCGGAAGAGAGAGGGAGAGAGCCCTCCTCCCGCTTCTTCTTCCTTGACCTCCCCTCTAGATGGGAGGAGGGTTTCCCCTCTGGTCCTTGGCTTCCATGGCGGCGGAGGGGCTCGCCCCTCCGAGATTGGCTCTCTCCCTCTCCCCCTCCTCTCTCTCTCTCTCTCTCTCTCTCTCTCTCTCTCTCTCTCTCTCTCTCTCTCTCTCGCTTTATCCTGAGTCAGCCACTCTCTCAGTCGCTTCCCCTCCTCTCTGTCTCACTCTGCTTCTCTTTGGTCACCTCTCGTCCTCCTGTGACGGGTAGGGTTGGTGGATTTCTTGCTCTCCTCCCCCCTTATTTATTCATAGACCCGAGTTAGTTGTGTGGATTTGTCAGCTTATAAGTTCTTTTTTGCTGTTCTTGTGCTAGTATGAGCTAGGGTTTGTGGATTTATTTCTCTCCTCCCTCCCCTTATTTTTTCACAGATCCAAGCTATTTTCTGCGGATATATGTCACTTCTTCATGAATTATTTTTGTTGTTCTTGTGCAGGTTTTGTTCTTGGGGGTGCTTGGCTCAGGGTTCTTGTGCTCATCCGCGAGCGAATCTACTGTTCAAGTATTTCATCTGCTCATACTCTAGTCTGGGATTTGTTTTGTGGTGTATGAGTTTTACAATTAGGGTCATTCTTTAGCTATGGTTTTTTCTGTGTTCCCCTTTTTGATCTAATCTCCTATTTTGAGCATGTCCTTTTGATTTATGGTTAGGGTTATGCTTTGAGTTGTTTTGTTGTGACTTTTAAGTCGATTTGCTGGTGACTTGTGTTAGTTTAGTTTATTTATTGGTGGAATAGATTTTTGCCAATTTAAATGAGCAGGCTTTGGTAGGCCTTTGCTATATATGGATTTGGGTGATTGATGTTTATATAGTGAGTTTTTAGAAAATTTAATGTTAAATCTACTAGGTATAGTGTTGAGTATACTGTAAAGATCCCTTCTTCTTTTTTATCTTAATCCATTGTAATTTGTGGATACTTTGCAAATTTTTTATGTTGTCATAGTTCCACGTAGTGTATTGTTTTTTAGGTTATATTAGTTGTTATAGTTGTTGTTGTTGGGAAACGTAGTAGAAAAATAAAAATTGCCCTAAGAACACCTAGGAACAATATGAAGATGCATATACGGTTCGGATCAATGATCGTTACCGAATCCGGAGTTGCAGCAGAAGTAGACGAGTCGGTGTATGTCATACATGGAATCCCTCAAACCATTGATGACGATCCCGCGAACCTCCCTCGAACGATCCCTTGAACGGAAGACCAAAAGCATGGCCTCTCTATTTGGTTGCAAGCGTGCGGTCTTCACGATCTAGTAGCACTTCGCTGTGCAGAGCTAATCGTCGCCGGAGAATTAGAGGGAGGAGATTAGAACCACACCGGGCTTCTAATTATGAGGATTAGAGGAACTAGGTCTATCTCTAATTAGTCAACTAGGACCTACTAGAACTAGATGAACTATAGGAGGCTCAAAAACTTGTGTATCCAATAGGGCACAATACCTCAAGTATATATAGGTTAGAGGGGGAGAGGAGGGCGGCCACCAAGGAGGGAAAGGCCCTCCTTGGTGCATCGGCCAGGGAGGAGGAGTTGGACTCCTCCCCCACTAGGACCCCCCCCCCCCACACACAAGGAAATAGAATCCTTCTAATAATTACGAGACCCTTTTATATATAATATAACATCAAGGGAAATATTTTCCTCCTATATATTAATTATCAGGAATACCCGGTATTGCCCGATAAATTCTGAAGCCCTTTAGAACTATTTTGAATATTAACGAAACTATTTCATAAATCAATCACCGATACTATTGCCCTACTAACACTCTGCAGATCATGATTACCTTAAGCTTGTGATCTCGTAGGTTCGGTAAATCATAGACATGAACGAAATCCCTTTGTTCAATGATCGATAGCGGAACCATGGATGTCCATATCGATCCCTATGATTACACGAATGACATTCAAGTGAACCTCTGGTTATTATATGATATTCCCTTTACCTTGCGATACTTTACAAAACCTGGGATGCATCGGTATCCTCCTGTGTCATGTGCATGCTTACTATACGTTGATCTCGTGCCGGTTTTGTTCTTCTTTCTCTCTGAAGTGTTCTGGGATCCCTGTGACGTAGCCACCTGTGTCTGGACAGACGTTGATGGATGCCATCACACCGAGAGGACCCTAAGAATATCTCTCCATCATCGGAGGAGCAAATCCCACTCTTGAGCAATCTGGTGCCTTGTCAAATTTTCTAATGAACCTATAAGTTGTCGTTATGATCACCTACTTACAGATTTTGTTTGAGGAACCCCAAAATCCACCGTACGGTAGGAAGTGACTACGATACTCTCATGGCCTGAGGAACTAAAACACATGCCAACACTCTATGTTATAACAATTTATTTCAGACGATATTATCTCAAAGTATAACAAACAAGATTGGGTCGATTCAATATGATTGTTCTTCAAACATCATACACTCAATGTTGTTTCAGGACTATCGTTACACTTAATGATAACCTTGTTGGAAATCGTTGCATGTAAAACAAAAAATTTCTATGCACACGCAATGATCTATCCATGGAGATGCCTAGCAACAAGGGGGAGAATGTGTCTACATACCCTCGTAGACCGTAAGCGGAAGCGTTTCACAACGCGATTGATGTAGTTGAACT